ATTTATTTGTCATTTCCTCCTTGGCAGAGAATGTAAAGTTTTGGGGGAAATTATATCATTATTTCTCAAGACAAATGACCTTATGTTCAAGTCAGACTGTTGGAGGAAGACAGAAAACACTAGCACAACTACAGTAGCAATACTTCCTGACACTGCAATTCCTCCTGGTTCATAGACTTCAGCCGGGCAGCCACAGAAGGGAAATAATTCAAGATTGGTTCCCAGACAGGCAGCAACAGCAAATGGTGCTGATAGAAATCATTAAAAGGAAGAGGATGAGCCCCCTCAGGCTGTAGCAGGATGTCAGAAAATGCAATACAGCCCTAGCCAGTTTGACTCAGTGGATAGAGCATCAGCCTGTAGACTGAAGGGTCCCAGGTTCGATTCCGGCCAAGGGCACATGCCCGGGTTGTGGGCTCCACCCCCAGTGGGGGGCATGCAGGAGGCAGCCGATGTATTGCGGGGGGCGGGGAACTTACACTTAAAACAATGTTTTCTGTACATTACCTCATTATTCCTTCTTATAGTTTAATGAAGTGAGGATTATTTTTTATCTTCAATGGACAAATGAGGAAGTACAGCTACCCAGTGGGGGAGCATTGGCCAGAAATGATGAGATTTGAGACAAGACCTGCACTCATCACCACTCCCATCCCGATGGGTCATCTATTCACAGCTGATCAATATTCACCCAGAGCTTTCACTACCCAGAGTTTTCACTGTGAAACACCTGGACTGGCCAGAAACTGGGGAACTAAGGTGGATGGGCACTAGTGTGGGTTTGGAGCCACAAATGATTGCTTTTGGGACAGGCAGGAGGATGCATGAGAAGATCATGGGCCATTAATGTTGATGTGAAGGAAGGAAGGAAGACATGAATGGGATTAGAACATGTGGGAGATTTAAAATACAACAGAGGAGAAAAGGTGGGATTCGAAGCAAAACAAAACAAGCCTCTGCACAGAAGAGAGCGATGACTGAGAGAAAGCAAGGACATATTTCCTTAAAGCTACCAAGAAGGAAGAAATGAGAAAACAAAATGTCAGGCCAGGCACTGCTGAGACGGAGGAGCGGCCCATGGACATCACCACAAAAGCCCCTCTCACTATGCTGAGGGTGTCAAGCCTTGAATTCTGATGCTGTGGCTGATTGAGAGTGATGGAGAAATCCTCAGGGAGATCCCCTCAGAATTTCCTCCACTTAGCAAAGTCACTTCAAAATTAAAATCTAACCCTAACTGAATGGGCAAAACTCAGGGTCAACCTTTGGCAGTTGATGAAAACAGATAAACAAGTTACAGCCAATTCCTCAAGTATGTAGCTCTTCCTTGGTACAGGGGTCCTTAATTGGGGTCCACAGATCCTCATAATTTCTGTGGAAAAATTTTAGGGAGCATAGGAACTTAAATAAGGTTGAGAAACTTATGTCTTCATTTTCACTCACCTCCACCTGAAAGTAACCATTTTCTTTTATTGTGAATTTAGGCCGGAAATCACAGGAGCGATCTCCATAGGATCTGCGACTTGGGCACCAATAGATACTCATCCAGCTTGATGATCAGCTGTCAGTAGTCAGCAGTTCTATTTCCCATTTCAACTAAAAGGAATTTTAGGCTCATTCTAGTCTTGTTGAGCAAAGGTAAGGGTAGATAGCTCTGAAACTGTGCTTCTTCAACTTGAATGTATAACAGGTCACCTGGGACTCCTTTTAAAATGCAAATTGTGATTTAGCAGGTGGGGCCACATGAGTGGGGGACTTCACTTGAAGGAACCAGACTGCAGAGCTATTTGGATATAGAACTTTAAAGATGAAGATCATTATTTGGGCAGTTATAAAAGAATCCTTTGAAGGTATAGTCTATGTCACTTGGTGCGCATTTTACACCTCCCTGATAATATGAACAATTCCTTAAAATAGTCCCCTGGTGTTTATCAGTGTATACAGTTAGACAAACTGTTCTCACAAGTGTATTTTCATATCAACTTGTTGAGACCTTTATTATTTCATTTATTCATCTGGTAATATAACTGTTTGTAATATATGTTCTCTCAGTGTGTGGTGACCACGTCTTCATCTTTATCTCCAGTGTCTACCAAAGCATTTTGTAAACATTTACTTTTTTATGAATATTTAGCAGGTAGCTTACCGATGCCATGGTTTCTTTCTAGATCCTTGAACTGTGGGTGCTGGCATTTGAAAAGCCTTAACAAAGATACATGTGTATTTAATTCCCAAAGCAATTTTGGAAGATAAAATATCTTGTTTTAATTTTTCTCATCACCCAAATACTCCTTTTTACCTGGGGCCTACTGACTTTTTAATTACACTTCCGTTTGTCTAATTTAGCCTAAAAGCCTATTCATAATTCAGAACCACAACCAAAGATAGAACTGACAGTTCTGCATGCCTTTCACTAAAAAGATTTTCCAGCAGAAATGGAGTTGACCGAAAGTTCTGATACACACATCAGCTTGAAGGCATGACATGTATATTGCGGATGCTCCCCAATAGCTCTCAAATAAACTTTGGTTCTAAATCCATGGTCTTTGGGCTGAGCCCTCTTAACAAAGGCCCATATGTGTGTGTCCAAAGCCCCACAGTGTTTGGGGCTTTATCTGAGCTCCAAATCCACAATTTAAAAACCATTGAACTGTACACTTTTAATGAGTGAATTGCATGGTATGTGAAATAAATCTGTTAAATAAAAAAGAGAGCCCTGGCCAGTGGGCTCAGTTGGTTGGGTGTCATCCATGCATTGAAAGGTTGCCAGTTTGATTCCCGTTCAGGGCACATGCCCAGGTTGCAGCTCAATCCCCTGAATGGGGCATGCAGGAGGCAGCCAATCAATGTTTTGCTCTTACATCAATATTTTTCTCTCTCTCCCTCTCTGCTCCTCTCTCTCTAAAAATAAAATATAAAATATCTTTTTAAAAGAAGAGAAAAAGAGAGAGTAGCACAGTATCCAATCATCCTAATGAAGGAGTTGGCCGTGTACTCACAAGTCGATACATAGATTTGAGGTCATTATCATAATGTTGGCTTGGCAGCTGAATTAGTGGAGGCACCTACACTATGGTTTAAAGCAGGAGTTCTAGTCTAGAGTCAGCAGATCAAGATTCAAATCCCAACTGCACCACTTTCTAGTTGTGAAACCTTGGGAAAGTCACTACATTTCTCGGTAAGATTTTTAATCTGCTAAACGGGCTTACAACAGTACCAAAACCCAGTGGTTACAATGAGGGTTAAATTGGGCAGTTCCTGTAAATGGCTTAGCACAGTGCATAGCCCCATGGTGGGTGCCCAATACACAGTAATTATGTTATTACTATTTTCTGGAGTACTAGGGATGCTGCACTAGAGAAAGCCAGATGGTAATGTTTGCAGTGGGTCCCAAAGCCATTATCTCCCATTAAACTTCACTTTGACTTTCTCGGGTTCTGTCCCGGGCAATCCCTTTCCTACATCAAACTCAACTGCTGCACCACGGTTCAGGTCTTAGTTTAACGGTTCATAAACAAGGGGGCCCATCAAAATCATGTGGAGCTCATAAAAGATAAATCCTGTGTCTCCAAGTGTGGTCCCTAGACCAGGAGCGTCAGCATCAGAGGCCCTTTGAGAGTTCCGATCTGTGGAATTGGGAACTCAGGCTGGGACCCAGCGATCTGCTCTAACAAGCCCTCTAGGTCCGTGGTCGGCAAACTGCGGCTCGCGAGCCACATGCGGCTCTTTGGCCCCTTCAGCGTGGCTCTTCCACAAAATACCACGTGTGGGCGTGCATGTGCAGTGCGATTGAAACTTCGTGGCCCATGCGCAGAAGTCGGTATTTTGTGGAAGAGCCACACTCAAGGGGCCAAAGAGCTGCATGTGGCTCACGAGCCGCAGTTTGCCGACCACTGCTCTAGGTAATTCTGACGCAGGCTGAAGTTGACAATAATTGACCAAGTGGAATCTGATTTTGATTAGCTCCTCTTGCAATTTAGACCGACTCACTGGCATATTGTCATTGGGAATCAGTAATCAAACAACAGAGTTGCACTTTAATCCGGCTACACCACCCACAGATAGCCAACCTGCCAGCAGAAACTGCCTCAGAACTCTTTTACATGGACCCACCTTCAACAAGGAAATGGACAGGTCATACAAACACCTCTGAGAACCCATTTCCTCCGGGGACACTAATTTCTATGAAGCTAACTCATTTGTTTTGTTTGGGGCACAAGCTTGTTTTCAAGGCTAGTTTATTGATTGATTCATTTAATTTACCTATCACCAAATATTTTTCATGTCCCTACTATGTGTCAAGGCGTCAACATTTTGGAAGATAAAACTGATCATTAACAGAGAAGATGGCATTTTATTTCATTGGGAGCCTGAGCAATTGGGTAGACAACACTCCATGCTTACCATTTAGTAGGCTGTATAATTGTTTTTAGTTCTTGAGAAGCCCAGAGATACAATAAAAGTGAACATTTATTAGCAGCATGGTCTTAATCTTTTTAAAGTGTTTTCCAGTTCCTTGTGAGATTTCAAAACTCTCAAAAAAATATTATAACCCCCAAATAAGTCAGTGAAAATAAAAGCAATAAAACATAGCCTCATTCAGGAGCAGAGAGGAGCTTGGTAAAGATGCTGGAAGAAGGGAATTATAAAATATTAGTGTGGTGAACACTAGACATGTCCAGTTCTAAGAAATGATGACTTTCAGCTTTAAAAAACCCAGGTTCTGGGTTTTTATTGTTTGTAAGTTAATCATGTGTTAAATCATGTCATAATATGGATCTGAAAAACATATCTTACCTCTCTCTATAACCTGGAAAAACATATCTTACCTCTCTCTATAACCTGGCATCAAAATAATATTATTGGGGAAGGAAGCAGCAGGAAGGCGCAGCCACATCTGCCGCAGTCTAACTTTAATTTATTCAAAGTTTTCATCAAAAGTTTTCTATAGAAAATAGGGTTCCAGCCATACAAACATAAACCATGTTCCTTGGGCTTACCAGTTTAATATGTTCTCGCTTCTGGTATTTTTCACTATAATACTGTTCTTGTCGAAGATTAAGCAGTTGCTGTTGTTGCTTGTCCTTCAAGTCTATTAACTTCTGGGTCATTTCGGCATCCAGGGCAGCCAGATCTTGCTCAATGGTTGATGAGCCGTGGTCAGGGCTGCTGGGTTCCGATCTGCGGAGACACAGAACTTAACTCACAAAACATGCAGGTCACAGTACAGTGGAGGGTAGTGGTTCACCAGGTTTCCTCCTAGAGAGAGCACTGTGTTTGGAAATAAATATTTCAATAATCCACCTCAAGTACAGGCTCAAGTGCCGAGGACAAGACATTTGTGACCACTTAATATGTGCCAGGCACTTTCTACACTACAAAAGGCTTTCACAACAATGCAACGAGGAGAATGACTATCTCCAGTTAACATCTGAGGAAGCCAAGGTTCACTGAGACACTGTGCCTAAGGATACCACGAGGGGAGGATACTGCAATGCTGCTCATCTGAGGTCAGACACCTGGGGGAAAGCAAGGTCTTAAGTACAGCAAAGAACCCTGGTTGGTTGCTCAATGGTTAGAGCATTGGCCCTTAGACTAAAGGGTCATGGGTTTGATTCCAGGTCAAGAGCATGTACCTCATTTGCAGGTTCAATCCCTGGCCCCAGTTGGGGAGGCAACCAATCAGTGTCTCTCTCTCACATCAATGTTTTTTGTTTTTTTCTCTCTCTCTTTCTCCCTTCTACTCTCTAAATATCAATAGAAATAATATCCTCGGGTGAGGCTTATAAAAAACAGACAATTACAGCACAGAATCATGCATGCCAGTATCTGGACAGAAACTACCCTTATATGATCTGCTCGACACATTATGTGGAAAGCTCAGTTGAGATGATGGATATATGAATAAAAAACAAATCTAACGAACATTACATCCATTCATTGCTGAGTTATTTTCAGAAGGTTAAGGTGTATGAAGGAGGCTGGGAGGTGGCAGACATGATCAGGCCTCAGTGGCTTTGCCTTTTAAAAGGAGCTTTCCTGTGTCCTTTGATGCTAGATGCTTAGGGGACTTCCATCTGTGTGTTGAGGGGAAGTATTAGAAAACTGTGTCCTTTGATGCTAGATGCTTAGGGACTTCCATCTGTGTGTTGAGGGGAAGTATTAGAAAATAAACAAGGGAACAAGGTTTCTGCATCTTTTGTAAAAGCAGAGTTGAAAATATTCCCCGTTGCCTAATGTTGCCTGTTTAAGATCCATGAGATGAATTCTTCTATAATTTAATACCAGGAAAATGTTTGTCTCTCTTGGAAAAGCAAGCAAGTTTCGTTTAATCAGATGAGGAGAATTGTCTAACCCATATTTCCTTTTCTCAGAAGCTAAGAGCTATATTCAATGTTTAAGGACTGAAATTGCATTAAATGGTTGGTGCTATCCAGTAGAAATACAACATGAGCCACAGTTAATTTTTTTCTACATATGTGATCTAAAAATGTTAGTAGCTACCTTAAAGAGTAAAAAGAAATGAGTGAAATTAATTTTAATAATATATTTTATATAACCTTATTACATCCCCAATATTAGCACTTCAACATGCAATTAAAAGAAAATCAATGTGGTAGGTTCATATAAAAATGAGTTATTTCATATTCTTTTCTTTTTAAATAAAGTCTTTGAAATCTGGTATTTATATTATACTTACAGCACATTTCAAATTCTATGAGCCGCTTTCCAAGGGCTCAATAGCCACTTGTGGCTAATGACTCCCATGTTGGACAGCAGGCCTAAAAAACTGGTAACCACTCAGTCTGTGTGTATGTATGTATGTGTATGTTGTTTTTCTTTCTCTGCTTTTTGTAAGATTTTTAAACACATCTTTTATAAATAACGTCAACGCTCTATTGGAAGTTTGCAGAATAAGACATAAGTAAATAAATATGTGAATAAATAAATGACTACATACATATCACTAAAATAGGAATTTAGGAGAAGTTTTAGGCCAAGCTTTACTGGAACTGTTTATGTAACTGCAGGTAAATGTTAATGCCATTAGCTTTCAGCTTTTTCCTTGAAGAAGTGACAAAAGATCACCCAGATGGCTTGTGAGGCAGCTCCAGTTCTAAGAAATAAAGGTTTTGCTGCTTTTTAAAACCCTAGTACTGGGTTTTGATTGTGCTTTTAAGTTAATCACATGTTAAATCTTGTTTTCACAATATGGATCCGAAAAAGGCACCTTACCTCTCTCGATAACCTGGCATCAAGATAAGATTACTCAGTAAAGAAGTGGAAGGGAGGATGTAGTATAGCCCTCCAACTCTCACCGACAGGTAGCTCACATGCTCACATGGTTCCCACATGACCACATCAGTTACTGTGCGTGAGAATTATGTAGGTCATGTTAACTGCTGTGTCCTCCAGGCATACAGTTGGTGCTCAATAAACACTGGTTGAATAAATGTGTGAGAGATGCCTCTCCACGTCAAGTCTGGGTTCATGGAGCCGTGGGGACCCCTGGATCCAAACACTAGGGTTACCTGAGCAGGGCTTTGTGGGTTAACGATGGGGCAGCAAAGAACAGGTGAAACTTCTTTCTGTATGACAAATTGTCTCTTTAACTAGGGTCTAGGTACATGGAAAAATTTCATACCCACTAGGTTGGCCGCTGTATTATGGGAAGTCAGCCAGTTGATATTGGGCTCATAGGCTAGGATTCATGGATAGGACTCCCTGCATATCTATTCTCAGAATTTAGTCAAATAAAGAAATTCAGTCCACAAGCAAAACTGAGCTGAGGTGACAGAAGAGATACATAATGGAAGGAATGGGGTGGCTTTCCATCTTGCAGTGGTCGAGGTGCAAAATACAGTACAAACAGGAAAAAAATCCACGTAAATGTCTCTCTTCCTCATGCCATCAAACAAATCATACTCATTCAACTTACTTTTTCTTACTATCCTTTCTGGCTGTCTTTTCCAAAGCCGCTCTCCTTCTTAGGTAGTCATTCTGAATTTCATTATACTTTGTAGTGTGCTCCTTGATAAGGTCCGTGGTTTTCTTGTGGTGTCTCTTAACCAGCTCTTTCATTTCTTTGTAGTGCTTCTTTTGAAGTTTTACAAACGACTTCTGTTGCTTTAGCTCTTCAATAGTCTGCGCTTCCACTTCTGCAACGAAAGATCAGAAAAGCTAACAGATATGGAAGGACTGAAAAGACAGACGTAGAGAGGAGTAGCAACTTGTGTGTCTGATCCTAGCCAACCCGAGCTTAAGAGCAGAGCTTTGATGTCGAGCTTAAGTGGGTTTCAGGGTGGCTCCATCACTTGTTAACTTTGTGACAATGTTACCAAATTTCTCAAAGACTCAATTTATTCACTTCTAACATTTTTTTAAAGTCTGAGCTCCCTAGAAACAGACCCTAAGAGGAGCAAGCCGGTGCATGTGATTCCCAGAGGCAGGCTCTCAGGAGGAGGGGAGTGAGGGCAGCAGATAGGGAAGGGGAAGCAGTTAAAGGTGATGTGGGCGATGGAGGCTGGCTCCTGCCTGACCCAACTGGGCGCTCTGGAGTGTGAATTGTACCACGGAGTTGGCCTCACCTTGAGGCAAGGGGGTCAGCATTTTGCATATTTGGGATAGTCCGTGGGGGGAGGCAGAGCCTACTAGAGCGGAAGCTTCCTTTTGGCTGAGGGCAATTTTCAAGAGCAGGGAAAGCTCTGAGCTGTTGTCAGCCATCGCTCACTGCAGCTTGAGGATGGGTCCGCCGGTGGGTAAAGGGGATCTGTGCGGGACCAATAGCATCCACCTTAAGGATCACAAGGCTTCCCTACTTTTCAGGATTATTGTGCTGGTGAAATAGAAGAATTGCTGCCAAGCGTTTAGCACAGTTTCTGGCAGTGTGCCTGTAGACGCTTAAATAATGATTGTTCAGGTTCTAGAGCACCCTCTGTAAAAGGCACTATTCACAGTATAGATGTGGTAGGCTTGCACATTTATCAGTGTTCCAGTATAAAGCAATGAAGTGAAGGAAAGCCCATTAATGTGATTTTCCCAGTGGCACCATTACATGGCTACATATTTTATCCACTGCTGGGAATTCATTTACTGTGAAAGAAGTTGACCTTAAGACATTCTGAATTTCATTGACATATCTGGTCAACTCTAGAAAATGCATTTAAAAATATGTTAACATTTCTGAAATTAAGATGGATCTTATAGTCAATGGAGTATAACAGTGTGCCAGCAATTTTTATCTCAGCCATCCATGAATAGTGGGTGCCTTAACGTTGACGATGTCCTAACTGCAATGAATTGCCATCTATTTGGACCTAGATTAAGTCATAGTTCACGTTTCCATGCTTTCTTTGATTTGAACTTTCTGCTTCTGAGAGGGGAAAAAAATGTTATCATAAATATTTAGAACTGTCAAGAGATTCAGAAATAGCATACCTATGCCACGAATAACAACAGACCTGAGTAGAAGATGAGATAGCTAGTGAATTAATGTTGAAATCAGAATACAAATTGATGTTCCTAAATGCTGAGGTCTTTAAGCAATTGAAATATGCTTCCCTTATAATGTGTCTAGTCTCCTGACATTAGATTCCTTTGGATAAAGAGGCTAGTGAGAAAATCAGGTACATTTATTTAATGGTTTCCCTCAGGCCCAAATAGACTCATTAGGATTGCATAGTAACTTATTATATTAATAATTTATAGTCCCAAGGAATTGCTGCATTTTTGGTGACAGATTCAATCCCATTTCTTTAAGAAGAGTGTGCAGCACATCAGCTATGGCAAGTAGCAACAGGGTTCAAGATGTTCCAACCTGTGTTTAAAAAAATTCCAGAGAAAATACTTAAAAAAAAGTCTGTGTATGAAAGGTTATAATTTGAATATGCTCTTAAGCATACAGATAATGTTCATTTAGATAAAGAGTCAAATATCACTCATAAACAAGCCATCCAGAGATAATCACTGTTAGTTTATTGTACAGACCCTTGGCCTTTCTTCTATGCATTTATTTTTAAATAACACTGGAATCATGCTCTATTTACACTTGTGTCTCTTGTTATATGTGTCAACTTGTTACCCAGGGAACTAAATCTTTAAAACATGTTTTTAAAAATACATTGTTGCCTGACTAGCGTGGCTCAGTGGTTCAACATCAACCTATGAATCAGGAGGTCTCAGTTCCATTCCCAGTCAGGGCACATGCCCTGGTTGTGGGCTCCATCCCCAACAGGGGTGTGGAGGAGGAGGTAGCTGATCAATGATTCTCTCTCATTATTGATGTTCCTATCTCTCTCTCCCTCTCCCTTCCTCTCTGAAGTAAATAAACATATATATTTTTAAAAAATTCTTGAAGTAATTTTTTCTATGACTATTTTATGTATTATTTTGGTGAAACATAAATACATGCCTAAAAATATATAAATCGTAAAGATAAAGGCCTATACACTTTCACAAAGTGAGCATGCTTCAACAACCATTACTCAGAACAGCATAAGAATATCATCAGATGCCAGAGGCCCTCTTTTTGGTTCCTGCTCCCCATCAAATATAATCCAATCCGTGTTTCCAACAGTATGAGATGAGTTAGTTTTGCTTGTTTTTGAACTTTATGTAGATGGAATCATAAAGAATGTGCTCATTCGTGTCTGGCCTCTTTTCTTCAACACAGTCCTTGTGAATTTTATGCATGTTGTGTGTGACTGTGGTTTATTTATTCCGAGAGTTGTAGCCAGGTTTAGACTGTGATTGTAACACAATGTGTGGATCCACCCGACTGTTTACGGACATTGGGCTATACGCAGTTTGGGACTCTTCCCAATAGTGCTGTTTTTGGTGAGCATTTCTGTTGTATATTAGGCCGAGTATCAAACATTTTTCAGATTTAATTAAGTATGGCTAACTGTATTAAAGAAAGCTTGTGCCAATTCCAGTCCCACTAGTTTATGAAATTAACCAAATATAAAATATTTCCCAACTGAATCACAGTCCTCCAATACTGTGTATTCTGTGGTCACCAATGGATCATATTCTGTATTTCTAAACGATGGTTTACTGTTGTTACTTTGGGAGGATATGCTGGGGCACATTTCCAGGATGAAACAATTTTTAGATTCTAAAATGGATATCTTGTGAAATTATATTATTTTTATCTCAATAGGATCCTATCGCCCAAGGATGGTCACTTTTCTGTGATCACATCATGTAGTGTGGCCTCAACTAGGGCTGTGTATCTGTAAGTATTTTTAGAGAAGAAATATGAATAATGTTAATCTTCAGAGATGGAGGGAAGCCTTCTTTCCTCTAAATCAGCGGTTCTCAACCTGTGGGTCGAAAGACCCTTTCACAGGGGTCGCCTAAGAACATCCTGCATATCAGATATTTACATTACGATTCATAACAGTAGCAACATTATAGTTATGAAGTAGCAACGAAAATAATTTTATGGTTGGGTCACAACATGAGGAACTGTATTTAAAGGGCCAGAAGGTTGAGAACCACTGCTCTAAATACTTACACTCTATCATATTCAGCTGCCTAATTTCTCCGGGGAAAGGGTGGTATTTACCTGTTAAAACACTATGAATAAGATCTTCTGTTTTTGCAGGTGCCTTTCCAGGGCCTGAAATAAAAAGATAAAGTAAATAGGCATTTTTAACTTTTTACATTTTATTCTTCTTGTAAAACAACGATTGGCCCTTGAGTCTAAATCTCTTTGTGGAGAAATTACAAATTGGGGAGAAAATTATTCCAAAAACTTCTAAGAAATGTTCTCCTTTTGTTACTTTGAGGCAAACATAATTAAATGTGAATCTATATGTTCCATTTATAGAGAAAAAGTATATCCCTCCACTTGAAATAAAAACCAGCAACAAATTCAATTTAGGCAATGCTACTGCCACCTTTTGGCAAAATCAAGAATGACAAGGGGTCTTTTAAAAATCAAATGCTGACAAGTTGGCACTAATCATTGTTGCAGACAAGTTCTATTGGTGGATGCCAAGATCACTGGGTAAATGTTTAAGGAGAAACAGGATAGCTGCATCATCTAAAAGTATCTCCCCCGATATAGCTGTTAACTATGAAGGAGAAAACCATAGCTTTCAGTGGAGAAACCTGGTAGTCATCACCTTAACCAAGTGCTCCAACACCACCAGTGAGGAGACACATCAATACCAGGTTCCCCTGACATGCTGCACTGAGAAGGGCGTGACATCACATCTGTGATGTCCTTGCCAAACATGTAGTACTTCAACCTAATCATGAGAAAACATCAGGCTGGTCCAAATGGAGGGCTATTCTGCAAAATACCTGACCAGTACTCTTCAATAGTGTCAAGGTCATGAAAGACAGGACAGACTGAGGGACCGTCATAGGTTAAAGGAAAATAAGGAGACATGACCATTAAACACAGTGTGGGATCCTGAGCTGGAACCTGGGATGGTAATATAAAGACATCAGTGGGAAGCGGGTGAAGTTCAAACAAGGTCTGTCGTTCAGTTCAGGGTGCTGAGCCAAGGTTGATTTCCTGGCCTGGGAGTCATACTATGATTCTGACAGATGTTAACATCAGAGAAGTGCAAATCATTTTTGTAATGCTGTCTGTTCCATTTTAAAAAATTATTCTGTATGTCAAATTTTTTCAAAACGTTTAAGGAGCAGGATAGCTGCATCATCTAAAAGTATCTCCCCCGATATAGCTGTTAACTATGAAGGAGAAAACCATAGCTTTCAGTGGAGAAACCTGGTAGTCATCACCTTAACCAAGTGCTCCAACACCACCAGTGAGGAGACACATCAATACCAGGTTCCCCTGACATGCTGCACTGAGAAGGGCGTGACATCACATCTGTGATGTCCTTGCCAAACATGTAGTACTTCAACCTAATCATGAGAAAACATCAGGCTGGTCCAAATGGAGGGCTATTCTGCAAAATACCTGACCAGTACTCTTCAATAGTGTCAAGGTCATGAAAGACAGGACAGACTGAGGGACCGTCATAGGTTAAAGGAAAATAAGGAGACATGACCATTAAACACAGTGTGGGATCCTGAGCTGGAACCTGGGATGGTAATATAAAGACATCAGTGGGAAGCGGGTGAAGTTCAAACAAGGTCTGTCGTTCAGTTCAGGGTGCTGAGCCAAGGTTGATTTCCTGGCCTGGGAGTCATACTATGATTCTGACAGATGTTAACATCAGAGAAGTGCAAATCATTTTTGTAATGCTGTCTGTTCCATTTTAAAAAATTATTCTGTATGTCAAATTTTTTCAAAACATGAAATCAACCCCCCCACCCAAAAAAAGTCTAAATGCTCTTCTACTATCAAAAGCAAAGCACAACTGGGGAGTAGGGGAGGCCAGGGGAAGGTCAAGGGAGAAAAGGAAAAAAAGGAGACATATGTAATACTCTTTGTAATAC